TGAGCCTGGATCCGTTGGGTGGGTGTCGTGCGTTACTGTCAGAAGCTCCTCGGCCACTGTGTCTTGGACATTTCTTCTGCCCACGTTCCCGCTCCCCTCTGGCTCCCTGACGGCAAGCGACAGACTGATGGTGTCCCATGGGTCTGGGGCACTTCGCTCCCATTCTCCCCTCTCGGCATATTGGTTCAGATGATTCGTTTCAGTTTCCAGAACTGCCAAAGTCTCTTCTCTGCTCGTGCGTCCTGTCCACTGGGCCCTTCAGCGTGTTAGTCATCGTCCCCATGGGACACGCCCAGCATCCTGGCTACACCCCGAGCTGCCGCTCTCTGTCTCTGAGCCATCCTGAGGTGGCTTCGACTGAACGCCAACGGTGCGGGGAAGCTGGTGACGCGCCTCTTCCCCGCCCAGCCCCTCATGGGACGGCCGGTCAGCCTCGTCTGTCCCCACATGTGTCCGAGCTTCGCTGTGACTCTCGAGTCCTTGGGCTCGCCGCAGACTTCGAGGGCGGGATGGAAACCCTCAGACCGGTGGGACTTGTGTGGTGGCATCGGGAAGGCCTTGCTCGGCTCCCCCGTCCCCGTGACGGGACCACTCCTCCTGCTCCGTGTCCTCCGCCCCTGCTTTGCCCTCCTGCAGGCCCCATGCTCCCGGCGTAGGCGGGGCGGGCTCAGTCCTCCCCAGGCACAGCCCGGCGCCCGTCCACACGCTCGCTCTGCCCTCCCTCCGCTCTGCCCTGACGTCCCCTCCGCCATCCAGCGTCCGTGCTTCTAGCCGCAGCTCACCGGTTAGCGCTCACGCTGTCACCAGTTTCAGACAGCCTCTCTGGCGTCCCGGGTCGGCGCCAGATGTCCCCCTGTCCGCTCTGCCACCTCCTGTGGGTCGCCGAGCTCCTCCAAGCCTGGGCTGTCTTCCGCGACGTGGAGGTGGTTGGGAACGTGACGGGGATGCTTTCCTGCAGAGCACCCGGAACAGTGCCGGGCACACGGCTCGCAATGCCAGATGCTGGCCTTCAGCTTCCAGAGGGCCCCCACGCCCTGGCCCGTGTCCCCATCGCCCTGGCCCGTGTCCCCCATCGCCCTGGCCCGTGACCCCCATCGCCCTGGCCCGTGACCCCCATCGCCCTGGACACGCTGGGCGTGTCCCACGGGGACGATGACTAACACTGGCCTGTGTCCCCGTCGCCCTGGCCCATGTCCCCGTCACCCTGGCCTGTGGCGGCTGGCTTCCATGGCCGTCCTGCAGCTCCGCGAGCTGGGCTGTGTGGCTTACTCGTGCTGGCTCAAGCGAGGGCACCTGGCCAGCGTTTGTCCAGTGACGAACCGAATGACAAGGCTGGTGGCTGACTGCACGCGGCAGCCGCCCGTGGTTGAATTCGGTGCTGGCTGCGTGGCCGCACTCACTCATTTCGTCATTCTGAAAATCCTTTTGAGCGAAAGCCTCGTTAAAGAGTCGGTGTCCATTTTGAGTCATCTGTGGTGCCCTTTCATCCATCCAGCTGTGGTGTCGGGACCCTGGTTCATTCCTTTGACCTTTAGAAAAGGGCAGGGAGGGTCGTGGGGGCTCCACCGGGAACCCCTCCATCGTCCCGCAGAAGCAGCCTCGCCCCGGTTGTCCAGGTGAGCGTTTTTCCCTTCCTTCTGTGCTCCACGCCAGCCGTGGGGCCTGCTGGGCTGCATCTGCCAAGGGCATTTTCTGCAGAAATCAAGAGCATCCACGCTTAGCCGGCTTCTCGGCGCCGGGTGCTT